GGGGAAGAAAGCTAAGAATTTCGCATTTTTATTATACAAATTGATTGATTGATTGATTTGTCTTAATTGTTAATTGCGATATATGAAATACTTATCAAGTTAGGGGCAATATGGTCATTTTGAAGTAAAAGAAGCCTTGGTTATTAAATGAATCATACGAAGGATCTGTTATTTGATTTTGGAATTGGGGCGAATAATCGAACGATTTGGAGTTGCGAATTTGATTTTGAAAAGCCAATCAGTTGGGTTCGCATATGAAAACAGATAAGTTTTGATTTTGGATTAGCAATTGGGTTATTGATTGAGGGACGATTCGTGAAGAAAAATGCGAAGTCAAGAAGGACTGTGAAATGTGATTTGTTCAATATTGGAGTCAAATGCAGTTCACGTGTAAAAGCAAAAATGTTCGCATTTGGTAATACAAATCAAAATTGGGTTTCGCATATGAGGTTGTATGGATTGGGGTTAAAGATGCGAAGGTGATTATGGTTAATATTCATTTCGTATTTGGTGAGACAAACAACTCAAATGCGAATGAACTAAAAAAAAAATGACTGGAACATGCGAAGAAAGAGGGTGAATGAAGAATGTGAATTTTACAGTAGAATGCGAATTGGGGAAGAAAGCTAAGAATTTCGCATTTTTATTATACAAATTGATTGATTGATTGATTTGTCTTAATTGTTAATTGCGATATATGAAATACTTATCAAGTTAGGGGCAATATGGTCATTTTGAAGTAAAAGAAGCCTTGGTTATTAAATGAATCATACGAAGGATCTGTTATTTGATTTTGGAATTGGGGCGAATAATCGAACGATTTGGAGTTGCGAATTTGATTTTGAAAAGCCAATCAGTTGGGTTCGCATATGAAAACAGATAAGTTTTGATTTTGGATTCGCAATTGGGTTAATTGGGTTATTGATTGAGGGACGATTCGTGAAGAAAAATGCGAAGTCAAGAAGGACTGTGAAATGTGATTTGTTCAATATTGGAGTCAAATGCAGTTCACGTGTAAAAGCAAAAATGTTCGCATTTGGTAATACAAATCAAAATTGGGTTTCGCATATGAGGTTGTATGGATTGGGGTTAAAGATGCGAAGGTGATTATGGTTAATATTCATTTCGCATTTGGTGAGACAAACAACTCAAATGCGAATGAACTAAAAAAAAATGACTGGAACATGCGAAGAAAGAGGGTGAATGAAGAATGTGAATTTTACAGTAGAATGCGAATTGGGGAAGAAAGCTAAGAATTTCGCATTTTTATTATACAAATTGATTGATTGATTGATTTGTCTTAATTGTTAATTGCGATATATGAAATACTTATCAAGTTAGGGGCAATATATTTTATTTGAGTTATAACCAAAATCAACTAACTTGTCCAATTTAAAACAATAAAAGTATCCAAAAATATTCAAAACCAATAATATTTGACATCCTAAATACCCCAAAATAAAAATCATACCAAGCAATTAAAATATCTTTATAACCAAAACAAATGATCAAAATATATTAAATGTGTCTTATAACCGATAGAAACTCACTTTTCAATTTTTGGAATCAAGAGTGGAGTTTCCTCTGCGGTTGACTTTCTTTTAGCCTTAGTTGAACTTAAATCATATCCAGAATCAACATCATAAATTTCTTGGAGGTTGCGCTTCAAATCACCTGATATTTTGCAAGGACTTGTTGCGGTTGACTTATCAACTGTTGAGGGTGTAAAACTTTCGTCTGTTTGTGAGATCACATCCTAATTTAAAAAAAAAATGTTTGATTCCTAAAAAAAATAACTAATATAATTAAAAGTTTATAAAATAAAATGAAAAACCTTTTGAACAGGCTGTACAACATCATCGGATTCCAAAGCAACTTGATTTAAGGAGACAGATTGATTACTCTAAAAAATAAAATGGAAATATGTTAATCGTTATGTACTTTAACATTAAAGAATTGTAAATTTTCAACAATAAAAAATTACATACCATAAGTTCTATTTTACTTTCCAATTCACAAACAATGGACATATCTTCTGTAACTCTGAGAACTGTGTAGATGTTATTATAGTTGTTGACATTGTATTCTGTAATATCTACAACAAAACCAAACTTGCGGTTTTTCAACACATTAAGTTGCATTGGAAATAGGGCATCACTGTCTCCGGCCTGTAAGATATATTTTAATAAATTAAAAAAATTAAGTAAATGTTTTCTGATTTTAAAGGTATGAATAATATACCGCATCATGTATCTTTTTCAACTCGTAGGCACTTATATTTAACAACCTCCTTGCTTCCCTATCAAAAAGAGTCAATCCAATGGTTCCAGTACAATCTTGTACGTTAATTGGAATTATATACCTAAAACAAAAAATAATTATGTCATTGTTAGTGTTGTTTTAAGATTGACAAAATTAATAGAAATAAATATGTCTATACTTTATAACTGACTGAAATTCAGATTTTTTGCATTGTGCATTTGTACACTCGACAACCATAGTTTCTGAAATTCCCTCAGGGTTGGTATACGAATGATTGGTTTTGGGAACAGGGATAATTTTTTTTCCACATTTTTTGCATGCTTCATAATACCATGGTAGATTCTGCCTTATATTAACAATGGAAGCAACTAATAAAAACTTCATTTCCTGTATCATATAAAATGTAAAAATTATTAAAATAAATTATGCAAAAATAAAATGTAAAACATATAAAATAATGCAATATACCTTAATTGGTTCGGTGATCTCACAGATTGTTTTTAATGGAAAATTGCCCTTAAAGTCATCTGTATATGAAGAAGAGTAGCTTTGAAGTGTAGTTATGCTTTTTTCAGTTATACCGAAATTGTCATGACATTTCAACCTGTAATGTTTAATTTAGATTCATGAATATTAGGTTTTGTGTTTTTTTTAAGTTAAAATACATTATAAAAAAATAAAAAACAATTGGAAACTAACTTATTTTTAAACTCATTTATTTCATAAATGTCAGAATTTATGAACAATTTCGTTACTTCAAAATGACTTTTAGCTTCACCAAGACCTGTAAAAAATGTATATCCAATTATTAAAATTTATATAAAAACAGTAATTATAAACATCTATATATAAAGACTGAATACAAACCATTCCAAATGTTTAGCTTCAAAAACTGCATCACGATAACAACAAAATTAACAGTCGGGTTATTTTTTAGGTATTCTGAAATTTGATATGCTTGACTTCCAAAAATAGTAACCTTCAGATGTACAGAACTAAATAAACCATAAAATAGTATATTAATATTAATTTGTGATTAATTAAAGATAATAAATAATAAATAAATAATACAATATAATCTCACTCTAGGTTGCTAAGAGTGACTTTTATATAATGCTTGGATGGTACTGGATTTGAAGTTTCAAGAGGCCTAAATGACACGATATGTCCAATAACATCTACACAACAGATACCACAAAAAAATAAAAGTTTAGGATTAAATTCGTAATATTTAAATAATAAAATGTATAACCAAAAAAACAAATGATAAAAAATGATTTTATTAATATTTTATGACTAACCAAAGAATGTGTCTTTTGGGCATGTTTGTTCTATGATAGAATTAAAGTCAACAAACATAAATCCATTGACCGGACCCGAGAAATCATCACATTTTTTTAGGATGCTTTTCCAATCCAAAGTTAAGGTCTGTTTATGACCTGTATAACTAAAACCATTAGTAACAGCAGCCATATTGGGTTTTATAACTATATAACTTTCATCTTCCTTTAAAAGATGACGAAATCTGGAGAAATTCTGATTGAAGACACGAGCTTGGTATTGTGTACCCTGTTTAAAAAAAAATTAAAAATTATTATGTTCATGAAACATGTCTAATATTGAATGATGAATAAAAAATATATCAAATACAACAAACCTCCTCATCCATGATGATCATTTCAATGGAACAAACTTTATTATTTCTGACAAAGTTCCAAATTTTAAGCACCCGAATATTGATATGCGATTTTTCATCTATCTGGTCAATGTTATTTAGGTAAACCTTATTTCCTATTTCCATTTTCTGCAATAAATTTAATCATTATAGAATTGTAAGAAAAATTAGCAACCTTTTAAATTAACAGCAAATCAAAGTAAATGAAACAGCAAAACAAAAAAAACATATTGTAATAGTTAAAGCTTTGAAGAACAGTTTTTTTTTAAAGAAAATAAAGTTCTCATTTTTATTACTAATTTCGTATTTTGTAATCATTTTCATCATTATTTACGTCTTTTAAACTGAAAAGGTAGAAGAAGAAGATGATTAAGAAGAATTAGGAAAAAGAAGAAGACAAACATCACTAATAAAATGAAAAAATGATAGAAACTGATAAATCAGACCATTAAGAGCATAGAAATATTAGTAATCCTGATATTTTAATACACTAACCTGATATTTGATTTTTTAAGCGTTGCAGAATCAAGAAGAATAATTTTGCAAAGATTACTATGGAGCAGAATTTCTATGGAGCAGAATGGTAAAAAGAAAAGAACCGTATGAATGGTATTTACATTTGAAAAGTTTTTATGAATCAATAAGAATCAAGAAGATTACGTTTGCAAAGAATAATATTGCAGATTTTTAGGGATTTAATTTGCAATCAAAATAAACAAACTTTCAAAATTAATCGGGTTTTTCGAATCTGAATATTAATTAACATATTTTTTCAATGTATTTCCATATCTTTTATTCATTTAAATTTTTTGGTTGAATATTTTGAAAGGATTTGTTTGCAGATTTTTCCGGAATTATTGAATTTGGATTGTATGGTATTTACGTAAATATAGATGAATAAAATGAGCGGAAAAACTCTATTTTGGAGGTCTTATAAATTAACACGTGGCAGAGTTCTACTTATTTATTAGAATTAGGATATCGCTTTCTGAATATACCTGCTCCTCATTCTTTATAATAATAATAAAATGGGATGTGAGAGACGTAGGTGTCTATCGACTTACAAAAATTAAAATAAGAAGAAACTAAGAGAGGGCCCACCGGCCACATGGAGGTGATAAATAGAAGGAAGTATGTCGATCGATAGGGATGTGTTTGTCAGTCGTAAGTCGCTAGAAGAAGACAACAATGGTATCCTTTGTTGGTTGCATAATTTCGCGTTCTGCCTTTCACATTGTAAATATCTCCATGTCCATGGTGTCAACCAAATTGAACTTACTACTTAAACTGCATCAAACCATCTTTGAGTCGAAGGAGTCGAAGGAGTCGAAGTCCACCACTCTGGGTAAAACGTTCGATCTTCCATGGAAGGAATTTCGAATCAAGATAAATTGAGCATCGATACAGAATTACAAACCAAGTTACTCCTTCACAGTGATGATCATGATCGTAAGGGTGGTATGAGAACCATGCCATTTATCATAGGTACTTCAAAATCCCCAATTTCTTACATCCTTGTATATACTCTGTACTCGAATTCACATAAAAATCGATCAATTTTTGTGAGCTCGAAGATAAATACATCTCGATTGTAATAATTACGGTTTGATTTTGATTTTGATTTTGGGGGCAGTGAATGAAGCATTTGAGAAAGTGGCGAGCTATGGATTGACGCCAAACATGATATTCTATCTGATGGAAGTTTATCACATGGAAGCTGTAACTGGAACCAGCATACTCTCCGTCTGGTCAGCACTTTCAAATGGTCTCTCCATTTTTGGAGCTTTCATGGCTGATTCCTACTTGGGTCGGTTTCGGGTCATTGCTATCGGGTCTCTCACCTCCCTTCTTGTAAGTCTCTCACCTCCCATCTTGATTTTGATTTTGAGCCATTATTTAATCATCTTGTTGCTACAGGGGATGATTTTTCTATGGCTGACCTCCATGTTCCCAGAGTTACGACCTTCATCTTGCGAAGAACTCGACACCATTTGCAGCCCTGCAACACCAACCCAACTCGCTTTACTTTTCACATCTTTTGGTCTACTATCGATTGGATGTGGTTGCGTGAGACCATGTTCCATGGCCTTTGGTGCAGACCAACTCAACAATCATCCAACCATAAACAACCAAAGGCTCATTGACAGCTTCTTTAATTGGTACTATGCTTCTATGACAATGTCAATGGTTGTAGCATTTACAGTAGTGGTCTACATTCAAGATGAGTATGGTTGGCAGGTTGGATTTGCAGTTCCTATGATGTTAATGGTTTGTTCTGCTCTCATGTTCTTGCTTGGATCTTCTCTTTATGTGAAAGTTAAAGTTGGCAAGAGCCCGTTTTCAGAATTCATTCAAGTTCTAGTTGTTGCTTTTAAGAACCGGAAAGTCAGTCTTAGTCACGATGACTGCTACAATCATAGCCATGGAATGGATAGAGTTGAGTTAACAGAGAACATAAGGTTTGCCAATTACTACAAAATTACTTTAGTTTTTCGTGTTGTTAACTAAAAGAATAGAAAAAATAACATAGCCTAACTCATATTATCTATATCGTACTTTAGGTTTCTCAACAAAGCGTGTGTTATTAAAGATTCAAACACAGATCCATGGAGTCTCTCCACTGTCGAAAAGGTCGAATCCCTTAAATCTATAATTTGTATAGCACCCATTTGGTCTTCAGGAATTCTACTATACACCACAAGTACCCAAAGCTACCCGACACTCCAAGCAAACACAATGAATCGACAAATAACCTCCGGATTTGAAATCCCAGCTGCATCTTTCGGCTTATTTATGGTCTTAACACTCACAATATGGATCATCTTCTACGATCGTATCTTAGTCCCAATTCTAGCAAAACACTCACACCAACCACGTGGGCTCCACCCAAAAACCCGAATGGGAATTGGGCTACTAATCTCAGTCGTGGCTATGGTAGTGTCCGCAATTGTGGAATCCATAAGGCGCCACGTGGCAAGGTCGGGTGATGACATGTCAGCAATGTGGTTGGTGCCACAATATTGTTTGCTAGGATTAGCGGAAGCTTTCAATGCAGTAGGGCAGATGGAGTTTTATTATTCCGAGCTTCCAAAAAGCATGTCGAGTATTGCAATGGCGCTCTTCATGGTGAGCAATGCATTCTCGGGGCTTGTTGGAAGCTTTTTGATCAATGTTGTTGACTCGGTAACAAGTGAAGGTGGTGAAGTGAGTTGGTTATCGAGTGATATTAATGAAGGACATGTGGATTATTACTATTGGTTACTTGGTTTCTTGAGTTTGCTTAACTTTTTCTACTTCTTAATCTGTTGTCGTCTTCATCGGAGGTTTACGTCATCCACATGAGCCTGGAGAAGAACGGGTAATAATTATGGCATGATATGTTATGTGATGTAAATTTTACATTATGCCCATGTTTGGCAAAACTAGCCGGTAGTTGGAAACTGTAGCTTTTGTTTGTTATATGAGTGTTTAACAAAAGTAATTGATAGCTTTTGAAATGTATAAAATTACATAAAAAGACAATTGTTCAAAAAAATATGTAAATATTTTTAAGGGTAATTTTAGAAATTTATTAAAAACTCAATAACTTTTGCTTAAACGACATATGAAGTAACTTTTAGATTTGAAGTTTTTTGCTTAAACTAAAAACTTGTAAAACTTGGTTTTAGTGATGTTTTAATTTCGAGACATCAGACTGGAATTTGATCAAGTGATGGTGCTGGTCTTCAAAGGAATAGACTTTAGGCCCTTTTCGGATATTGGCAACATTATATTAAGTGATTAAAGCTCTCGATTTGTGCCTTGAAGCCAAGGGTAAAACTGGAAAGGTGATATATTGGGTTTCTTGCATGAATTAAGGATTTTTGTTCGATATGTTTTTAGTCAAAAGTAACTAGACAATATTGTGGGGCTCTTCAATACCTTTCCGTGCATATAAAGAACGCCGAAAATTAGAAGATGGAAGGTTTTGCACTACATAGGGTGTAGAGGAACAAATTTTTAAGGAGTTACGCATGGCGTAAATTAAGTTGCGCATTGCATAGCTGTTGCTAACCAAACCATAATCCTAAGGTTTGGGGCCCTATTTAAGGGCTCTAACTTCTTGGAACCTTTCCTATTACAAACCTTAATCACCTCAAATCTTTTCTTTGAAGCCCTACCAATCAATTGTTAGTTTAGGAAGCATTTGTGGGCTTTTTAGGTGCATTCTTGAAGTAAGAGTCCATTGGAGAAGCAAGTAAGACCTCCAAGGTTTGTAGATCTAGACTTTGCACTTAATCATCTATCTCCAAAATGTATAAAGCTTGCATATTGATGTTCTTTTTGTTAGATCTAATTAGTTCATGCGTTTAATGCTTTTTGTTCCATAATCTTGGTCCTTGTGAGTATGGGATGCTCTAGACCATTTGAATGCATCCTTCTGGTGTTTTTGAGGATATAGAGTGTAAGTCAACTTAGGGTTAACTGTTGAATTTTGGAATAGTACTGGAAGGGAAAAATGGCCTTTTACCTAAAGGAGGTTTAATTGAGAGCCTAGACACTTCGTGGGCCAATCGTTTCCTTGATTGTTAATTAGGGTTTTATTATGGATATGTGTAGGAATAGAAGGTTTGATATCGTCGGCTCGAGTGGGTGGTTTATCTTGTCTTCAGAATTAAGGTGTGTTTCTCACTATACTCATAGTTCAAAGGCACAAATATTGGCCCATCAGTTCATATTATGTATCATATGTATAAGATGTTACTATGCTATAATGGTCTGTTAGATTGGTAGATCTGTACGATTACCTGTATTGTTGGTTATTGTTTATATATTTGCATATTTCGACATGGTGTGGTTGGCTTGAGGCAGTACAACTTTGTGATATACGCCAACAAATCCGGGAGCAATCAAGTCATAAGATGAGGGTTGGGAGAGCATTCCTGTTTTTTGTTGTGGGCTTGGGAGCAATCCAGTCATAAGTTGAGGGCCATGAGGGCATTCCAGTCTTATGTTTTGGGCTAGGGAGCAATCTAGTCATAAGATGAGGGTCGGGAGGGCATTCTACTCTTATGATGTGAGCTCAGGGGCAATCCAGTCCGGAGACTGTAGGCCAGGTGCAATCGAGTCGAGAGACTGTGGGCCCAGTATGCATGTATTGTTTATGTATTGTTGTGTGGGTTATTCTATGGGAACTCACTAAGCTTTGTGCTTACCCAATTGTTTGTAATTGTTTTTTAGGTACCATTGGTGATTGTGGGAAGGCGAAGGCATGATCGTACATATCCTCCTACTGATTTATACTTGAGAGATTATTTGATACTCTGACTCTATGGATTCATTTTGAAAATAATGATTGATTATCTTATGGTTTTATGAAAATGTTTTTAATAAAAATGAAAAATTGTGTCATGGTTTTTGGGTTGTTACAAGACTAAACGTTCATACTCCCAAACGAAGATTTTTGTTTAAATCTAGTTTTTTCGTTAAAAGATAGAATCACACATACATGCATGCACGTATGCACACACACAGAGGAAATAAATAGTATATTGGCAGGTTAGTCCTTAGACTTTTTGGGTTTCAAACTTTGGCACACTGCCCTTGATGGTTAATAGGACCTCGTAATTCCATCTATAGAGTGCACATTGCCCCTAATGGTCAATATGGCCTTATAATACTTTAGATTAAAGATGATATTTTAGATAATATATTCCTATACTGAAACTCCATGAAAACAAAGTTACACACTTACACATAAACATTTACCACCGCGAATAATATAAACACACACACACACACACAAAAACAAGCATATTCATCATTCATGAGTGTGTTTATCATTATTTCAAAGTGTTTTCTAAACAATTTCATTTTCATCTAAGTCAATGCTAATATATATGACATTTTTTAAATGTGCTCATTTACATGTGTTTTCTTAAGAACACTCATGTAATACCTGTTTTTTCATAACATGCATTATTTCAAGAGAAGATGAGTACGTGAAATACAACATAAAGTCACGTTAAATTGATCATTTTCTATTTAGTAAAAAGGAGTTGAGGAAAGTTGTAGATCTTCTAAAGTCGATTTCATGGATATAAAGATCGTAGAAAACGGAGTTTGTTTGAAAAAGTTATGGCTGTTTGAAGTTATGATGAAAGTATATTACTATTTTGAGAAGGTCAACAGAAGTCAAAGTCAAACGGTCAACTTTTGAGTCACCACGGCATGGTGGTATGCTCACCACAACATGGTATGAGTTGAGTCACCAAGACACGTGACGGAAGAGTGCAATATGTGGCAATTGTTGGAGAAACTCATGGCCACGGTGTGGCCATGTGACCATGACGACGTGGCATTGTTGATGGTATAAACAGATCTTATTTGGTGTCGATTAAGAGATTTTGGCACACATGATTGGAGATGCTGCTCGGAAAGCATTCTCAGGAGATTATAACGAAGGGGATATACCCTTGAACGAGAGATACGGGCTGACTTACGAGATTCGTTGAGGTATCTTTTACCCCGTTAATAATGATTATGAAATGTCTTATTTTTTAGATCTATTGGACCCGAGTATGTGTTACGGAATTCATGATATGGTGTTGTTACAAACCTTTTGGTAATATTAGTGAGTAAATCTTACGATTAAATATTTAGTCAAGACTGTGAGGGTTATAAACCCTAATGATCGAGAAATCACCCATTGTGAGAGATTTAGCTAACGACTTACGAGTTAATCCTGTTCCGATTATATTATGAGATTTGATTATTATTGTGACAAAAGGTCACAAAGTATAGCCAGCAATGGGTTGTGACAGGTTCTAATGAACTTTTTATTCGATGAATAGGTGTTACCACGTAACAAGTTGATAGGCAGTGAAGGATTGAGATCGGATCTGGAATTAGTCTACTGACTAACCATGTGAATAACACTAGTCTAGCATCCGTTGATGTAATATTTGTGCTATACATTATATAAGATATGTATTGTGATTTAAATGATCAAACATTATTGAGAAGTAGATCTTTATTAACATTGATCATGATTGACAGATTGATCATGATCAAGAGAGAGAGAGAGAGAGAGAGAGATATTATCAAACTGAAAGATAGATTATGATTGAGAGACTGATCATGATCGAGTGAGAGATCATCACACTAAGAGATAGATCATGACTGAGAGATTGATTATGATAAAGAGATATATCATCACACTAAGAGATAGATCATACTGAGAGGTAGATCATTTTTGAGAAATAAATCATTACTGAGTGACAAGTCATTATTAATGGGATAAATTGTTATTATTGAGAAATTGATTTATATTAAATTGATTATGAGGATATGAGAACACCACTAATTGGTGTAATTTATTTGTTAAATATCATTGATGATGAGTTGTTATGTGATAAATATGATTTTGTTACAATAGTTGTTATTTACTAAGCCGTGAGGCTTATGTTGTTGTGATGATCATTTTGCAGGTAGATTATTGTGGCGCTCGACTTTGATCATGTCCTTGAGGTCAATACGATCCCTATTGATAACTTCTTGTATTTCGTAGTGCCAATATACAACAAAATTATTTGTAAAATGTAAATGAGAACTGAAATTTGTTTGGGGTGTACTTGGTAATAAAAAATTGGACGTTACAACTTTGTATCGACGTTATGGTTTAAGTAATTAGGTTCTTATATTAGATTCCTAAACTTAAACCATAGAGTAGATGATAATTGATTAGATCTTATGAATATGAGTTAGTTTATTATTAGACATTTTAAGCATAAAGCTTAGTGATGAGTGTGTAAAGTCACGTCTTCATCTTTCCACGAACCAATGATACCTGAAAATAACAGCAACTGGGTAAGCATAAAGCTTAGTGAGTTCCCCCAAAAATATCGCACCTATTAAGACAAATAAAACATGTAATAGGTCCAATCCGTCATCGGACTAGAATACCCCAACCCAATAAGTCATTAGACTGGAATGCCCTGACCCAATCAATCATCGGACTAGAATACCTCGACCCAATCAGTCATAGGACTGGACTACCTCAGCACAACCAGTCATCGGACTAGAATGCCAACATGCAACGGGTCCAATCAGTCATCAGACTGGAATACCCTGGCCCAATCAGTCATCATACTGGAACGCCTCGGTCTGTTGGCTTACACATATAGCAGTAATGCCTCAACCTAAACCGCACTATGTCGACATATACAATAGATAAAACATATAACAAAAAACAAATAATCATGCAGATTTAGCGGATCACTACAACATATCAACATCCTATATACAAGGATACAAAACCAACAACCCAAGGAATACGTAATCATATTGTTAACGTGTCCCTT